TCTATGTCTATGTCTATGTCTATGTCTATGTCTATCTATGTCTATGTCTATCTATCTGTCTATCTATCTATCTATTTTTTTTTTAGTAGAGACGGGGTTTCACTGTGTTGGCCAGGCTGGTCTCAAACTCCTGGCCTCAGGTGATCCGCCTGCCTTGGCCTCCCAACGTGCTAGGATCACAGGCGTGAGCCACTGCGCCCGACTCTCTGCCTCCTCTTGTGTGATGCTTTCCTCTCCCAGTTGCTCCACTGTCCAGCCGGGTTCTCCATCTGCCCTGGCCATGCCCACCATAGCTTTCTCACCCCAGGGCTGGTGCCCCTGCTGTTCCCATCTCCTGGAATTCTCTGCAAAGGTCCTCACATGGCTGCCTGCTTCTTGTCATCCCAGTCTTAGCTCAATTGTCACCTCCCCAAAGAGCCTCCTGGATCACCAGCCCCCTTCCAATCATACTCTAATCTATCCCCATTTGATCTTCTTTATCAGACTTATAAATAAAATTACTGTCCTTCCTCATTATTTGGCGTAGCTATGCTTTATAAAGTCACCAGGAACACTGAGCTAGTGAGTACTGAACTACTGGGGAAATGGAGGTTAGGTTTTTGCAAGCCACTGGCTACAACATTTCCATCCTCCAAGCAATATATAACCTTGTTTTATGTGTGTTTCTGCTTAAAGACACCTTAGTTAATACAGCTGACCCTTGAACAATGAGGGAGTTAGGGGTACTAACCCCCACTGTGCATGTCAAAATCCATGTAGAATTTTTGACTCCCCAAAACTTAAATTACTAATCGCCCACTGTTAGTTGGAAGCCTTACTGATAACATGAACAGTTGATTCACATATGTTATATATATGTATTATATATACTGTATTCTTATTATAGTAAAGTAAGCTAGAGGAAAGAAAATGTTATTATATTAAGAAGATCATAAGGAAGAGAAAACGTATTTACTATTCATTAAGTAGCAGTGATCATCATAAAAGGCTTCATCCTTGTCTTCACCTTGAGTAGGCTGAGGAGGAGGAGGAAGAGGAGGGGTTGGTCTTGCTGCCTCAGCGGTGGAAGAGGTGGAGGTGGAAGGGGCAGCAGGAGAGGCAGGCACACTTGGTGTGACTTTTATTGAAAAAAGTTTGCATATAAATGGACCTATGCTGTTCAAACTCGTGTTGTTCAAGAGTCAACTGTGTATACCGCTGATTCATTTGTAGTGAACTCACGGCCAAGAGCACTAACTCACACCTGAACGAAGCTTATCTAACATACGTATTTTCTCTGTCAGGCCTGTCACTGCTTCCTTGCATTCAGAAACACGAGACAGCACTTCAGCACTAAGCTTGGGGGCCTTTTTAAATAGCGAACTCACCAAATAAAAACACAACAACGCAAAAAAACTGCAGCATCAAACAGACCGTGAAAAGGATGCTTGTTTATGATATGATAGCAGAAACAAAAAGGTCTCGAGCAACTCAAAACTGCTGCTTCTCTGCACTTCTGCAAATGACTCTGATAGTCTATGAATATTGATTTTGGTGTTTCAAGTAAGTTTCATTGAGTGGGCATATTTGCAAAAATGGAATCTGTGAAGGAGGAGGGTCAACTGTATTTTATTCAGTTGTTTTGCTGTCTCGTGTTTCTGAGTGCAAGGAAGCAGTGACAGGCCTGACAGATAAAATGTGTATGTTAGATAAGCTTCGTTCAGGTGTGAGTTAGTGCCCTTGGCCATGAGTTCACTACAAATGAATCAGCGGTATACACAGTTGACTCTTGAACAACATGAGTTTGAACAGCCTAGGTCCATTTATAGAATACACGCTCCAGGAGACCTTGTCTGTTTTGCTCCCTGCCGAATGCCCAGCACCTGGCACAGTGCCTAGCATGCAGTAAGTACTCAGTACATATTGACTGAAAGGAAGGGGAGAAGGAAGAATAAAAGAATAAAGTCCAGGCTCCTTTTCACTCCCAATTATTGGTGATGCCTGTGCAGGAAGCTCCTGCTCCCAAAGAGACCACAGGGCCACTGCCGTCCTTGTCCCTTCACACAATTATATACCATTTCAGACCACCACCACGGTTCTTTGGCTCCTTCCAGGCAACCTATGTCTTCCCTCCTTCCTTTGTCTCTCTGCTGCCCATTCATACAAGCCTGCATGTGCCAGGCCGTCAGTGGCCTCAGGCTTGGGAAAGACTGCTCGCCCTTGCTTTACGCTTTCTCAGCTTTCCCTCCTTCCCTCTAGGAGCTTCTTGGGTGGTGCAGGAACAAACATGCCATCTCCTTCATCTGGCCACCTCCCCAATCCCCTGCTGTCTGGCTCCTCCCTTCGGGTTTCTGCCAGTCCTCCCAAGACTTCTTGACACTTTCTTCTTCCTTTCCTGGGACTCAAATTCCACCCTATCCCCTCCCCTTTTCTTTGTTCGGGCCCATGATAACCACCACCATAATGGTAAGGACTAACGTACTCCTGCCTAGGAAGAGGGTGAGTATTTATTTTGTGCACTGACGGTCAGATGTTCCAGAAAATGTTTCCGGATCTTGTCTCTGCCTCCCGGTCCACATTAGGCCTGATGAAAGGATGTGTGCTGTGGAATCAAGGTAGAAAGCTTTTTCCCCCAATCATTACCCCCTGCATCTCCGCAGCACTTGACCACCTAGCGTGCCCCTGTGTAGAACCATTCACATCTAACATGACCCTTCTGGGAACCCAGCAGGCAGACAGGGCAGGCATAATAACCTCCTTTGTCAGATGAGTCACAAGATGAGTCACAAGAGGCGACAGAAAATCAAGGAGTTTGCCCAAGGCCACGGAGCTCCGAAGAGCTGGATCTGTGCATTCCTGGCTCTGAAGCAGGATCAAGTGCCCCTGCGGGCCTGAGACAACCCACAACCGGCCTGTCTGAGTGTCCAGTTTAGACTCCAGGCCAATGGGAGCTTGCCAAGATAACAAGTTCCACATAACAAAGCCCACTGTGTGCCACGGGAGAGCGTAGGAGAAGGCACAACAGCAGCAAACGGTGGTTATTAAATGTTATGTTTACATAAAACTCCATTGGTTAGAAAATTCCATTCTCAGGTGTGATTTCATTTGATCTCACGGCAGCTGATTATTGTCCCAAGATGTGGAAACTGAGGAAATGTGACCTATCTGGCTAGAAAGGAGCTGAGCTGGGGTATTGCCCTAAGATTCCTGTTTCCTATGCCTGGATCCTTCCCCGTCGAAAATTAATAACAATGATCAACTTGCTTCTCCGCTCGAAGGTTCAGGGGTTCTGGCCTGGGCAACCTGCCGACCCATTTCTCAGAACAACGTGGGAGTCAACAAGGGCCTAGAAAGTGGTTTCCAGGAAATGTGGGCAAGAAAGAGGACCTTGGGGAGGGAAGGACTTGGCAAGGGGATCTGAGCTGGCCTGCTGGATCCAGGGCAGTGTCAGGCGGGCAGCCAGGTGGAGCCTGGAGGCGAGCTGCTGCCCGGGTGACTGAGGATGGAGGCAGCGCAAGTCTCCAGCATCCTTCTGCCAGCAGCGAAATGTGCTCTGAACTCTTCTCTGAGCTTTGCGCCTCCCTCTCTAGGCAGCCCCTAGGGATTAACCCTTGCCGCGAAGCACTTCAGCACCGCCACAGTTAATCTCTGTGATGCCATCTGCACATGTCAACATGTGACTGTAATGGTGGCAGAGCTTGTGTCCCATCCCCAGCCCCCTTTCCAGTCCACCCAGTAGACACATTCTGCAAACACTAGCTGACTGATCCGACCCCTTTGTCCTGCTTTCCTGTGCAACCTGGCTTTGGTTCCGTGGTGTGACTGCACAGTGGGTGGGAAAGGGGGCAGCTCAAATAATGGACAACTGCAGTCATTCAGGCAAGGAAGGTCACGTTAATTCACAGAGCAGTGCAAATGTTATTTTGTCCACAGACCTTGCGGTCCCACCCCATGCTGCCCTGGGAGGTTGGTTCCTCAGGAAGTCTGGTGGCCCCTGTGCAGATGTCTTAGGTGCCCCTGGCCATGTTCCCTTGGCTCAGTGCTCAGCTGTCCTGTGGCAGGTGGCTCCTGCTCCATGGGACTCACGCTCGCCCCGGGCATCATCTTTCCCACACCTTGAGCCTTTCAGCTTTGGGCCTTGTGGCTTCTCTGGTGCCACGGGAGCCTTTTCCACCCACTGCAGGGGCAGCCCTTAATCACCAGGGGATGGTCGGTGGATGCCTGGTCTCCTGGACTTCAGGGCACAATTCTGGGATGCCTTGGCGGGCTAAGCTTCCACACCCTACAGTTTGCTACTCTCATCTCCTCCTCTCTAAGAGCATCCTGTGCAGTGCCTTGGCAGGAGGGACAATGAGGGGACATGGACCACCTCCACGGGCCTGGCTCCTTCCCCTTCCTCATTTCCTCCTTCATGGTCCTCATGACAGGGCAGGCTTCATGAGGTGCTTGTGTTTTACTGTTCTTCTGTTGCCAACTTGAAATTCGTAATGCTCTTTGAACAGGGAGTTGCATTTTCATTTTGTACTGGGCCACACAGACAATGTGGCTGCTCCTGCCTGGTAGTTTGCTGCTTGGGGAGAGGCCTCTGCAAGTGACAGAGCAAAATGAGCCCTGTCCTCTGGCCAAGCTGAGCTCATTGTTTCTTCCCTCCTCTGAGCACAACAGAAACCCAGGCACAGTGGGAGCTTTTATCAGGGTCCCTGTGACAAGGGCACATGGAAGTTGGGAGACAGGCCTTAGGGGCCAGCTGGTCCATCCCCCACCCAGAGTGGGTTCTCCCACTCATCACCCTGGCACAGGCTCACCCAGCCTCCTTGTGAATTCTTCTAGTGATAAGGGCCATTTTTTTTTTTTTTCTAATCGTGGACTCGAATTGTCATTGCCCCTCACTCCGGGGAAGTATTCTAAGGTTCTCCAAACCCTTCCATGAGGATTATCTCACTGGATTCTCACCACCCTCTCCTTGTGCAGCAGGCATTTTCTAAAGACTGGAAATTGAGGAAATTCCGGTAATTTTCAGATTAGCAGCCCTTGCACCTCCCACTCAGCCTTTTCCCTTCCTTCAACCAGCGATGGAAATCTCTCCTCACCTAGGAAGCCTTTCAGCCTGTCAAAAGAGAAGAAATGCCTCCTAATTCCTTGTACTAAATTATTCCCTCCCCCCTCCGCCCCAGGCTGTAGGTAATGTAATATCTTTTTTCAGATGTCCTTCACTTTGAATAACAGTTAGAAAATGGCATGAGGTAGGCAGCCTTTTCATAGGCTTGTTAAATGTATTAGACCCCGGTGGAAAGATGGGAGAATAAAGGAGGATCACAGAGCCTCCCTCTCCTACTGATAAGGGTAGTAGAGCACACACCTTTTAAAGTGCCAGTCAAGGAAAGAAACAGAGGCTTCTGAAAGGCTGTGGTTTTTATGCCACCCCCACCTGGAGGAAATACACCCACCAAGAACATCCTGAGCACTTCACCAGTACCCTTCAATTAGGAAAGCGACTGCCAGAGGGGATGGGCAGGGACAGTACCCAGAGTGGAGGTCCCTACCAGCTTTGCCTTGTGTCTTCTGGTAGGCTGCAGGGTTGAGGGGAAAACTGAAGCCCATGCCAGGAGGAACCCAGGCAGAGGAAGCCTCACTGTGAGGCCCCCCTGGGGTGCACTGGCAGACAGACACACATACTGAGCCTTGAGATGTCTGGGGCTGAGGCTGTGGCAGAAGCCCCTGGAAGGAGACACACGTGTCCACTCCCACAGGCCCAGTGCTCCTCCTGCTAATGCAGCTTACAGCAAACGCTCAGGTCTTTACTTTCACTTTCTTCTTGTCTGTGGTTTGCAGATTCCTAGTACCTATGCTCTGCCCACCCGTGCCTGTCCCTTCTCTCCTCCCACTCTCCCCTAACAGTAAACATCTTTCAAATGAGAAACCCTCTGGGCACCCCTGCTTGCTGGCACCCTCTGTGCTAGAATCTCCTGCTGCAGTCAGACAGGTACCTGGGAAGGGGGTGAGGGGGTGCTGGAGCTGGACTGGTGAGGTAACCCTGCTGTCCTTCCTCTCCTTCCTCTTCAAGGCCTAATAAAGAGGAAGACAGAGTCTGAGGCAATGCTTCCTGTGACACCAGGTTTCTGCATCCCTCAGACATTGCTCCAATGACTATTTCAATGATTATTCCTGATCTGACATGGCACAGATTCTGAAGGCTGGCTTTCAGTAGTCAACCGTTCCATTTCTCTGTAGCCAGGAAAAAATGCTTTATTAATTCCACATTCATTAACTCATTTATTCCCTTGCTTTTTCTAGCCATCCTTTGGGAAAACAAGGACAGGTCTTCTTTATAATAAGCCTGCCCAGGACCACTCTGAATATCGTAGTGCCTGAGCAGCCATCTCCATATCTATGAGTTGCTGTTTATGCCAAGCTTCCCACCAGGTGATGGCTCTGAAGTATTTCCAAATCTTCTCTAAGAGAACAGTTCCATAACCTCATCATGGCCCTGAAGCCTCTCTCTCCTGGAATCCCCACTTTCTGGTGTTACTCTGAAGTTCTGTGAAAGGTGGCCTGGACAGCTTGTTGGATATTTGCCTGGGGAATCAAAGGCTCTTAGGGCCAGATGGGGCTTTGAAACATCACCTGCTTCTCATCTCCTCACCCCCACCCCCAGCAGGGCAGAGCTTCGAACACACGCCTGCTAATCCAGCTTTGCCTCGTTTCTTTGTGCTCTACCATGATAACCTCAATAGCCATAAGCAATATTTTATTTTAATCTGCCCACTTCCTTCTGGTACCCACTAAGAACTGAGCACCCAGAACTTACCACTGGAAGGTAAAGTGTCAATTCTCAAAATAAAAACTTCTGAGACTTCTGCAATTAGAAAGGAGAAAGGTTTTCAAAATTACTTTCAATTTCCTGAAGCATTAGAATACTTTCAATGTAGTTTTATATTTAGAATCATATGAATTATACAGAGAACCATGGGATCGTGGACAGCTTCCAAATACTAGAAATTATATTTCCCTCCATTTTGATAATTAGTTCAAGGTCTTCACCACAAGAGACATCATGTCTCAGAAGCAAAAATAGGTCCCTATTAAGCCTATGTAATGTCTTGTCTAGCAGATCTGATTTCCTTTTTGTGCCCTAGCCTCCTCACCTTCCTAATTGGCGCTCCAACCTCAAAGCTTTTTCTCACTGCTGTCTAGAGCCTTAGATATATTAAATATAGTCTGACAGTGCAGGGCTAAGGATTTGGGTATGCTGATTGCATGTATCTAACTTAGAAACCCAAGGGACCTAGGGCATGATAACAGCTCATTGCAGCCTCAATTCTTTCAGGCTCAAGTGATCCTCCTACTTCAGCTTCTCAAGTAGCTGGGACCACAGGTATGCACTACCATGCCTGGCTAATTTTTTTTTTTTTTTTTTTTTTTTTTAAGTAGAGACGTGGTTTCACCATGTTGACCAGGCTGATCTCCTGTCAGCCTGGTGTCAAACTCCTGGGCTCAAGTGATCCTCCTGCCTTGGCCTCCCAAAGTGCTGGGGTTATAGGCACGAACCACTGCATTGGGTATGCATGGAACACATCACTTGGAGTTTAGGCACATCTCAATATGAGAATAATTTACATCCTCTGTTAAACCCAGTTGGGGTGGGATAAAAACAGTTTTCTTACTGCACATTCGGTATAATGTGCCAGTGTCTTATGTGCTTCCTGTATACAATCTCACTTAATACTGAAAATAAGTCTTGGCTAGGCACGGTGGCTCACGCCTGTAATCCCAGCACTTTGGGAGGCCGAGGTGGGTGGATCACGAGGTCAGGAGTTCAAGACCAGCCTGGCCCAACATTGGTGATAACCCCATCTCTACTAAAAAATATAAAAATTAGCCAGTCATGGTTGGTGCGCACCTGTAGTCCCAGCTACTTGGGAGGCTGAAGCGGAGAATTGCTCGAACCAGGACCGGCAGGCGGAGGTTGCAGTGAACCAGATTGCGCAGCTGCACTCCAGCCTGGCCTATAGACGCGAGAGAAAGAAAAAGAAAAAAAGAAAGGAAGGAGGAAGGCAGGAAGGAAGGGGAAGGAAGGAAGGAAGGAAGGAAGGAAGGAAGGAAGGAAGGAAAGAAGTCTTCGAGCGTTTCCCATTTAACACATAAGGAGAGTGAGGTTGAGAGGATAAGAAACTTGCCAAAGGGCCAAGGTCGAATTCAAGTCCCTGGTTCTGCTGCTCTTGGGCTCCTACTTGGACAAGCCCTTAAAACTTGATGGCGCCGTGACAGAGGGATATTTTGGCACTAGTGGCAATCGTGGCCTAGAACTTATTACGCATTCTAGTTTCACACCTAGAATTCAGAAAAGAAAGAAACTATTATGAGATTGAAATCTGTATCCCCTTTGGTCTAACATAAAAATGTTCTTTTTATCTTCTACTATATAGGGCAAAAGTTTTTAAATGCACTTCACTTCCACATCCAAAAAAATAAAAATAATTAATTTCCAGACTTTTTTCATGGTTAATTGTATCTCTGCAGCGGCTGAGAGGAATATTAATAAAAATTATCTTTTGGGGTTTTGGGGTTATTAAAATTGAGGATAAGGATGTTATGGAAGCTTTAGCTTCTAGATCCATCACCCTTTTAACAAGTATACTTGTTCCTTTAGATTTAACTCTTATTTATGAAATACATAAATCTGAACCAAAGCAATATGCCATTTTAGGGAAAATATATGAATGCAAATAAAAGAAAGCTGGTTCTAGTCCCCACAATTTTACTAAGTAGCCATTTGATGCTACCAGCAATGTACCAAAATTGTATCAGAATGAAATCTGCAACCCAAAACAAGGTGACTACTTGCTCTGAAATTCTAAGGGCCAATGAGTCATGCATCAATCGGTGCCAAAAATAATATAAAGATTATGTCCAAACAAAACCTCTATTCTTTTAGCTAGGTGTCCATTTGATTAATGTGACTTATATGTATGAGGGATGGATCAACAAATCTAATCCTCTTAAAGTATTTGGGAACTCAAAATATTTCTAACTAATGGAAATTATGGGCAAGCCTGCCAAAGGGCAAGAACTCTTTTAGACCCATCTAGTGTTCTTTATTCAAATAGTTTAGGAATTTTTTTTTTTTTTTAAACTGTGGTAGCTGATCTTCAAAGACAGCTCCCAATGAAACATGCCTCTCAGTATTCGATAGTATTCTATCCATTTATAGACCTTCCCATATTGAATCCGGACTGGCTCTGTGACATATTAACTAAAGGAATGTAGCACCAAAAGTGACTCTGTGCCAGTTTGAACCTACGCCATAAGAAGTCTTGGTACCTTCTACTTCTCTGAGTCCTGAGCTGCCATTGCTGTCACTGTCCCACACTAAATATATCAGAATTCAATACAGCCAATGCAGGCCCAAATGCACCATTTCTGATGCCATCCTTTGTCCTTACTGAAACATGCATAAATCAGAGAAAGACAAAAAGCCTGATTGTGGGCTAAGATTCCTTGATTGAAAGAAGCTTCTGTGTCATCAATATTTTGAATTGTCCCTTTGTTTGTTACCCTGGAGGGGCATCCCTACTGGCTAAGGTATGCCTTTGCCTTTCCTCCGTAAAGTGGGCAGTTATCTGAAATGGGAGGTGGGATCTTTTACAGGTGAGTTCCCAGGGAAGGCACTCTTAGGTCAGAGTTCTCATGGAAGTTGATTTCTTCCTTGGAAGTCTTTGTGTATCAAGGATGTGTGTACCTGTTTGTGGACAGCAGCCTCTGGTCTTTCTTTTGTCCTCTAACACTCCTGGCTTCCTCTTCCTAGCACTCCAAGTTCTTCTGATCTCTCCACTTCTAGGTACCTATTTGCGTTTCCCTCAAATGTCCATCAGCTGGTCCTGATACAGTGTCCACTGGTAAGAAACTGAAGGTAAGACCCCTTTCAGGGAGTTTTTCCATCAAAAATGAAACAAAGGAATAAAGATGCAACCACTGATATTTTAAGGGAAGTATCCTAGTGCCAGGTTTTTTCAATGACACCACACAGACAGCTGCTACAATCAAAGAATGGCTGAGTGTTCTCTTGCCTTGGGTAAGTGAACAGTGAGAACTTTACCATCTCCATCTCCAGTGCTCCCACACCCAAAAGGCAAAAAGTATTCCAGAGTGGGGCACTAAAATCTTTCCAGGCAAAAACTCAGAAATGAGCTCTGTGATATGCTCCCTGCTCACCAGTAGAAAACATTGTTCCAGTTTCTTCCTTTGTACCTACTGGAGAGTGCTTTTCTGATTATGAAAGGGGCCCATCTCATTTCCAGCGGTTAGCCAACCCTCCTCCCATGTTCCATGTGTGTGCCTGTTTCTATGTGATCTGAACTGTTGAGACTTGGTTTATGTTACTCAAGCCTCTAAGAGTTAAGAACAAGGTTACCCAGATCCTGAGAGGTAAAAATTTATTGATTTCTATCATATCAGCATGTTATGATATGGTCACGCCTGCTCATACAGCTGACTTCTTAGAGCCAAAAGAGAATTTTTTTCCTTTTAAAAATACAGTTGTTCAGCAGGAAAAAACATTTTAAAAACAAGCATTTTCATATTAAGTGGAAATTAAAAACAATGGCTTCCCCCTCCGCCAACTCATGAGGAATAGGGCTGGTCAGCAACAGATCTCTGAGTGCCTCCAATTTGTTTTCAGGCCTCTGTCCCCAGTCTGTTCCTTGTCTTCCACAGAAAGTAGTTCCAGGGGAAAAAGAAATTAGAATCTCACCAAAACAGCAGCCTAAATACAGATAGAAAAATAAGAGGTAGACACAACTGTAACGATTTAACTCATTTGGTAGACTGTGCAAGGTATTTTAATATTTAAAATTTTCAGTGGGATCAAATAAGGTCTACAAATACCTAAACAATTGATGTTTTAAATGCTAACATCTTAGAGATGCCTATACCACAGTTTACTTAGCTTTGAGAAATGAAAGTATAAAGCTGACTTTAGAAATATGCAAGCTTCCCATGTATTTCAGTAAACATTTTCTTTCTATCACATTCTTCAAAATCAAAAGTTCGCTGTGTAGGACTGACATTAATGCTTTTCCTACCCTTTAAAGCCCTTGCCAGGGTCAGTGATAGGAATTTCCTGAGTTCAGCAAGTACATAACTATGAGAAGTTTATTCAACACTAATAGTTAAGAAAAAAAGGATGGGGCAGTGGTGTGCTGGATACAGCCCCTACTGGCTCCCAAGAGCCAATGGTTACATTTTAGAATTTTGCCTGCAGTTGTTAAGCATTGGTTATTAAAATTGAATCATATAAATTTACAACTAATGTTAAAGCTAAAAGTGGTTTCGGCTTAATAAGTCTAATATGTACTATGGTAAGAAACAGTTTTAACAGTAGAGCACATATCAGATTGAATGACAATAAATTCATTGGGAAATGAGTTAGATTAGGACGGTCTGCTGTTTTTCAAATCATGGTTGAAATACAATCAATCATAGGTTGACTGTAGTAGTTCAGCAAAAAGCAATTAAGCATCCTTTTAAAAAAGCATTTTAGTTCTTTCCTCAGCTGGATACAGCCCCTACTGGCTCCCAAGAGCCAATGGTTACATTTTAGAATTTTGCCTGCAGTTGTTAAGCATTGGTTATTAAAATTGAATCATATATATACACAGTATACTTGAGACATATATATCTCAAGTATACTGTGAGAATCAATTGGCTATATGGGATTTACAATAAAGTATTTATATCTTATTATTTGTTAATTGTGTTATATGTTCTTGCTATCAGCAAAATTTACAACAAACATGTACAGCTGAATACATAATTTCTTCCCAGAAGAGTGGACTGCTAAACATTTACCAGCACACCACTGGATTGGGAGAATGGGGAGAAAGGGGGAAATATTTTTAAACCAAAGAAGGAAGTCTGATGTTTTTTCATTTGGTTTTTCAGTTTGCTTTCAGCATCCAACTGCCACAGTGAGCTTTAAGTACCTGCCTGCAGATGTTAATGCCCAAATAGCTCTGGTAAAACACACATGCCCTCTCCCCACTACTAAGAATTAAAAGCACTTTACTTGAAAAAAATCAACTTTATTTTTTCTAGGTTTAAAAAAAATAGAACCAGCTATTAATTTTTGTTAAGAAAACGCTTCTTTTGGTGTTCATGTCTAAACTTCTGAAAAGGTGATCTGGTTACTAAAATCACCCCAAATGCATTCATAAACCAGATCCACGTGTGACCAGCCCTTTACAAAAATTAATTACAGTTGCCACAGCCTTTACATTCATTCTTATCACACGTTACAACATGCAGATAACACAAAGAAAGGTCAACAAGCTGAAGTAAACATTACAGCATCAGGAAAATGAAAACCCATCT